TTTTTTTTTTTTTTTTTTTTTTGCAGTTTCCCAAGGCATAGTCTTTAGGCATTACTGCTACTGGGAGATGCCTTGTTACCTGGGTGTAGATTTCCATTTCAATTGAAGATAAATAGACTGGGCCTGAGAGTAGCACAGGCCTGCAATCCCAGCACTTGGTGAGGCTGAGGCAGGTTTGCCACAAGTCAGGGCCAGCCTGGGCTCCATAGTGAGTTTGAGGCCAGCCTGGACTACATGATGAAACCCTGTCTCAAAAAACGAAAACCAAAAATAAATTAGAAAGTGATTATATGAAGTAGGTTTTGTTTTCTTTTTATCTGAACTTGAGTGAAATCTATTGAAGTGTTACGAAAATTGCATCGCAGGGAGTTTCGGCAGCAGGCTGGGGACACTCAGTAAAGAACAAATTTCAATTCGCACATATTTGTTTTTTCTTTTTCTTTTTTTTGACTAATTTGGTTATTTGCCATTTCTGGGGATTAAACTTTAAAAAATGTTCTTCTTTTCTGTATCTGATGTTCTGTGTGCTATTAGTGATGCAGCCAACACGAACGGTTGTCATGTGTAACACAACTTTCGATCACCGCGAAAACACCGTCCTGGGAATGCGTCCATGCTTGATATCGTTTGGTTCATGAACATTAAGTTTCCAGTACAGGTGACCCATAGCTCAAAGTGTTAAATAATTGTCTACATTATTCAATTTTTAAAATAATATTCCATTAATGAGATTGTTAGTCTTTGAAGTTTTGCTCACTTTTATTTTTCCTAGTAGAGCAGGCTAAAAGGAAAGACTTAAGTTCTTATTTATTTCTTTATGCAGATCTGATAGATTCATTTATTAATATTATTTTTTAAGTGCAAGGGTAATTGTAAAATCATAGTATAAAGTTGGTGTGGTGTTTTTGCTTTCTGTAATGTTTGGAACTTGCCTCTGCAGGTAAAATCCCAGAGGAGTCCAAAGCCCTCTCTTTATTGGCCCCTGCTCCAACCATGACAAGTCTGATGCCAGGTGCAGGACTGCTGCCCATACCGACCCCAAACCCCTTGACTACCGTAAGTACTGTTCGTAAGTGAGCAGCACTTATGAAAGAGCTGAACACTGAACTGTGTAGTCAGCTGAGCAAAGGGCTTATAAAACTTTCCACTTCAGATATGTGATTTTTTAAGTGGAGAGGTTTCAGAATCTCCACTTACAGTCTTTTCCTGTGTTATCACTGACTTAAGTTACCTTTTGTAATTATTGCTGAAATAAGTAGGGTTTCATTTAAATTTGTGAATTATAAAATTTATTGAAACTCAGTACTGTATTTTATTTTTTAATTTTTATTCTTTTGGTACAGGGTCTTGCTATACAGTTTGGACTCACAGTGATCCTCTTGTCTCAGCCTCCCCAGTGCTGCGATTACAGCATGCGCCACCACACCCAGCCATGGCTGCACTTCCTAACTGAATTTTTCTGTCCAAAAAACAATGGCTGTGCCATGCCAGCCCTGGAGCCTTGGGTGTGCCCTGCGGCCCTGAAACAGGGAGTGGTGGTAATCCCAATGCTGGGGAGGCTGAGACAGGAGGATTCCTATGAGTCAGAGCTGAGTAGCAAGACCCTGTACCAAATAAAAGATTTTTAAAAAATTAAAGCAGTGCTGGTCAGGTGGTTAAAATATAGGAAGTGAGGGAAAGATAGTAGCTATTTGAGATTAAAGGGAAAGTTACAACAGTGATTTTGTCGGGCTTTATTTATTTGGTATATAGGTCTCGTAGTGATCCTTCTGTCTTAGCCTCCCCAGTGCTGGGATTACAGACATGTGCCACATACCTGGTTTTCCAGGGAGGCATGGCATGCCGTACTGGGTATCGAACTCTGATCCTTGAGCTTGGAAGGCAGCCACTTAGACCACAGAGCTGTCTCCCCAGCTCTATGTAGGGCTTTTTGTTTTAGATTGTGTAAAGGAGTTTGAATATGAAACCACTGAAGAGTTTTAAGAAAGAGTGTAAGCATGACTTGGCATGTTTTCAAAAGAAGTGACATTGGTTTTATGACTTGTGTTACCA